AGCCGCGTTAGCTGTTCGCCCTCTCTGCGCCAGGAGTAAGCCAGTAGCGAACTCAGCCCAGCCCGCCCTCTCTGCGCGCCAGGAGTAAGTCAGCAGCAATCTCGGTCCGGCCCTTCCTCTCCCCGAGCTGGGAGTAAGCCAGCGCCTTTTCGCGCACACAGTTCTCCATACCTTCACAGTTCCTGGGGTTCAGCGTGCCTTCTCTCGCCTTCCCAGATGGCAGAGCCTCCTCTCAGCCAGCCATCAGGCACTTCAGGGCAATGCTTCCCCTGTTTTTCAGTTCTAACTTCAAATTTGTTGTGGTAGGCTGCATTCGGGTGTCTACCCTATGCCGCCATCTTGGTGTCCAACACCTTGTCAACTCAAAAGATTACTTCTTTACAAGAAATAAATGGACCCTCTGAAGCAGAAGGTATGGATTCTTCCTCAATCTGTAATCTCAGGAAAATGAAGTGCCTTTGTCCACCTCTTGGCTGCTGCTTCCCAACTGTAGTAGATGGTGATGCTTTTCCTAATCATTTGCTTCCACTGCCCTTATTAAAAGAGGATTTTAGATTTTTTACTCATTGGCATAAGGCTTCAGAGAATCCTGCCCCCTGTGCAAAGTATACTACTCTATCTCTTTGACAAAGTGAAGCTCTGTTGCAATATATTGACTATATTCCCTATACTGTACTTGTATATTCCTGTAATTGTAATTGCCAGCTTGCATTTCTTAATCCCTTCACCTTTTTTACCTACCTCACTCCCCCCAATCTTTCTTCCATCTGACAACAATCCTTTTGTTCTCTGTATTTATGAGTCCATTACTGATTTGTTTGTTTTGTTTGTTTGTTTGTTTGTTTGTTTAGATTCAACAAGTAAGTGAAATCATATGGTATTTGTCTTTCTCTGTCTAACTTATTTCACTTGGCATAATATCCTCTAGACCCCCTCCATGGGGATCACTTAGTAAATTATATGATTGTCTAACAGGTATGCTGTGTACCTGAAACTTTATATTGAACTTTAACTGTAATTGAAAACATTTTTTAAACTTTTTTTAAAATGGCACTGTGACTTGTTTTGGCCTTCAGATGTGAACTGATGTCACTATAGGCAACTCTGAGGTAGGAATTCCATCAGTGCTGCTTTCTTGCTGGTTCCCTTTGTATTATAAGAGCTGCACGTCCTAAACAGAATTGTGACTTCAACCTGGATCCCGGAATGAGAAACACACACAACAAAATGCAGAAACAGGCTGCCTTTGGATGCCAACATATGATATGAGAGAAATAAATGTTTGCTTTAGTTAGTCACAGATTTTTGTTGATGTTACTGCAATAAAGCCAATTAGCACAGAGACCGTTACTCTCCCAATCTTCTTCTAAAAAACACTTCCCACCTCAATGAAGCCTGTGACATTTAGCCGTCCCTCTGTCCCTTCTACTACTGCTATCAATCAATACTGCAGGTCGTTGGTAATTATAATATTGTACTCTTATAGTCAGCTCTAAAAATTCTTTAAGCTTTAGGCCCCTCCACACCTAGATCTGCCTCTAATGAGAACAAAAGGAAGCTATTCAATTTAACTTGACCTTTTCACAAAGGAAGGAAATAAAGCTCTGGGAGGTTAATAACATTTCTCCAAGGTCATGCTATTCATAGGTGGCGAGGTCAATTCTGAGACTGAGGCCTTTTCATTTCCATTTCAGAGAACAACATACCATTTTCACCCAAAATGTAAAGTTGTTTTTTAAGGCATTTGTACTAACTTTTAGGAAATAAATGTAAAACCTTAATATTTTTAAATTGACTTTATTTTCTAGAGTCCTTCTTTATTTTTTTAAATAACAAATTCTTACCAGTAGCCTATGAATATTTTTTTAGAAATACTGGTAAACATGCTTGATATGACTTTAGTACTAACTGTACCTCTTTTTTTGTTTTTAATCCTCACTTGAGAATATTTCTTTCCCATTGATTTTTAGAGGGGGAGAGAGAGAGAGAGAAACACTGATGTGAGAAAGACCCATGGATCGCTGATTCCCACACACTCCCCAACCAGGGCCTGAGATCGAGCCTACAACTAAGGTACATGCCCTTGATCAGAATAAAACCTCAACTCTGCAGTCTGAAGGCCAACACTCTAATGACTGAGCCACCGGCCAGGGTCCTCTCTTTTTTTTCATTTAAAAAAATTGGATGTTAATTTCTTCCTGACTATATCTTAGAGTTATTTTGCAAATTAAATGAAAAAATAAATATGACTTGTCAACTAACGTTTACATTTTAATTTTTTTTTTTTTAGGTACAGGATTTAGTTGATAAAGTTTGTCTGTACTAGATATTTTAGAATACAGAATAAAGTTGTGATGAAAAATAGTCTATTTTACATAATAAGATGAAGCCAGTATTCCATGAGAGAGATCGTGAATGAGAAATGAAATTCTGTAGTTAACTATTTAGTTATCTATTAAACAAAATTCTTATTAAAAGTCAATTGCATGCTTATTTTTCATTCACCAGCTGGAGTCAAATACATAATCTAGAAGAAATTTATTCATATGCTTTCCATAGGTCCAAAGAAACAGAGTTATAAAGTTGTACAGCAGGGCAGCTAACTGCAAATATGTTGCTGCATGACTGAGTTTAATCCTGTTAAATATAATTATTCATAAAAAATATTTTTACATCTATCACATAAGTCTCTGAACTAACAGTAGTGTAATGCCCCTGTCACCTTGAACTTGCTGTGACTAGGAGGCATTAGTTTGTTTAGGTCTACACTAGACAGTATTCATTCAGGATCTTTTAAAGCCATGAATTAATTAAAGATTAACTTGAGTGACTGTTTCCCAATAGACATGGGCTTCCCGTTGGCTTATGTTGTTCTAAATCCCTTTTTGGTCACAAGTCACTCAGAAATTATCTTTCAGTTTTGCCAATGTTCATCCCAAGTCCTTCAGAGTCAGTGATCCATTACAATGCAGATTGTACCTGAGTTTAAAACACTTGGTTGAAAAATGTGTTGGCATCCTCAGAAAGAAGAGATACTCCCCTTTTGGTAACCTCAATTATTCTGGGAGAAGAGAGTGTTTTATTGAACTTAGCATGCTACCTTAAAAATAGAATCACCTTCACTGTTAGGGCATATAATTGTTAAATAATTAATTGGGGCCTAAGGTTGACAAACTAGTCAAACAATTTATTACACCTGATTATGTCATCAGAAATTTTTTTAAAGCAGCAAAATGCGACAAAGCCAATGAAATTAGGTACAGTACTTTAAAATTAAGATCAACTCTCAAAATATGGCTTCTTTATTGTATACCACCTATGACTCCCAAAAGGCATTTAACAAACCAAACATTTAAATATTCTGTGACTCTGACAACTAGCACTATGTCTGACATTCATTCAACATAAAATAGATGACCAATGAGTGAATGAATGAATGATGATAATTAAACTCCTTAGACAAGGATAATAGAACTCACTTCATCTTGTTATATGAAAGCTTTTTAAATAGTAGCAATTATTATTATACTTAATATACTAATTTACTAATACTTAGTAAAAAGTAGAGATTATACAATCATCTAGGATAGGGAAACTCTCAAATCCCAAGTTTATCAAAAATATAAAACTGACTTTCCCATAGATATTCACTTCAAAGTAAAAATATATTTATATAATGTCCCAATAATTAAAAACTTTACATGATCCCTTTTTTCTTTAATTATATTTCTAAAGTTAATTTTGGCAATCTGCAAGTGACTTTTAAACATAATCTCATACCACTATTTTAGTTTTGCATTGGCAAAAGTAAACTCCTTTTTTTTTTAAATGTCCATTTAAGTATCTCTTAAGTAATCTAAATATCTTATAACAATCACAGACACAGAAAATTCAAACATTGTTAAAATTTAGAAACTGCATGGATTTTCTGACTCTCCTCCCTCTTCTAACACTAGGTTTTTCTTTCTTGCTAGCTCCAAAACTTAGGTCAAAATCTTCATCCAAACACTCATTTTTATCAAAAACATTTACTCAACTATGTCAACATTATATAAATGAGAGACATAATGTATGATCAGATATGTAGAAATACATAAGAATAAAATAATAGCCGGGACCGGTTTGGCTCAGTGGATACAGCGTCAGCCTGCGGACTGAAGGGTCCCGGGTTCGATTCTGGTCAAGGGCATGTACCTTGGTTGCGGGCACATCCCCAGTGGGGGATGTGCAAGAGGCAGCTGGTTGATGTTCCTCTCTCATCAACGTTTTTAACTCTCTGTCCCTCTCAATTCCTCTCTGTGTAAAATCAATAAAAAATATTTAAAAAATAATAAATAATAAAATAATAATATAATTTCATTGTTTCAACTGAAAAAAAAGAATAGAAACATGAAACCCAAAAGATATAGAACAGTAGTCCAAACTCAAGTATAATAATATATATATGACATACTCTGTACATAACTGGCCATGTTACCCTGTGCATGGGGTTGAAAAACACTGATTTAATAATGACTTCTAGTTTGAATTCTAGGTTTTAGCCCCACAAATTGTCTCTATATTGTGTTTGAATTCAATTTAAAAATAATTTGACATTTTAAGTTCCTGTATAATGTATTTAACTTTTAGATAAAATAGAAAATATGGTGATAGTAACATATAATAAAAGAGGACCATTAAAATTACTTGAAATAAAACATCTTGAGCTTTTTCTTTAAAATAAAGCTCCAGATTACTTTACTGAGACAAAAGGACATTGTATAATATATGTTCCCTCAGGAAACACCAAATATTGAATGGGTCAAAGCTCCTCAGAAATTAAAAAAACAAACAAACAAAAAAAAACTGTGGAAAAAGATTGCCAAATTGGCAACACTTATCTTTGTTTAAAGAGCATCAACCTAGAAGTTTGTATCTTCCAACTCGCCTTTCCTTAGTATCACTAGAAATCCACTGCAACATATATAAGAGCTGAGATTTATTATTCTTTCTCACCTTCACTTGTCATCTTTGGAAGGTAACTGGCTGGAGACATTCTGATCAGCAGACTACTCAGCTCTGAAAAGGATCCTCACACAAAGATAGGTACATGGAAATATAAACTGAAGCGTTTTTACTTTAAATACTAATTCTCTGGGACTTTCATTTTATTTTTATTTTTATTGGAGTGACATTGGTTAACATAATTATATAGGTTTCAGGTATATAATTCTATAATACATCATCTATATATTGTATTGTATGTTCACCACTCAAAGTCAAGTCTCCTTTTGTCACCATTCATCCCCCATTTACCTTCTTCTTCCTTGTTTCACCCCTCTTTCTCTCTGGTAATCATTATACTGTTATCGTGTCTATAAGTTGTTGTGTTGTTGTTTTTTTGTTGTTATCAATTTTTGCTTAGCCCTTCACTTTTTTAAGCCAGTCCCACAATGTCTCTCTCCTTTAACACCTATCAGTCTGTTCTCTGTTCTCTGTATCTCTGAGCCTGTTCCTATTTTGTTTCTTATTTTGTTCGTTAGGTTAAATATAGCGTGAAATCATTTGGTATTTGTCTTTCTCTGACTGGTTTATTTCACTTAACACAATATTCTAGTTCCATTCATGCTGTTGCAAAATATAGGATGTCCTTCTTTCTTACAGCTGAGTAGTATTCCATTGTGCAAATGTACCACAGCTTTCTGACCAATTCATCTACTGAAGGCACTTTGACTCACTCCAAATCTTGACAATGAGCATAGGGGTACTCATTTTTGGTTTTTACAGATATTGACCCAGAAGTGGACCTGTGGGGTCATTGGCAGTTCCATTTTTATTTTTTGAGAAAACACAAAACTATTTTCCACTGTGGCTGCACCAGTCTGCATTTTCACTATCAGTCCTGGCCACATCTTGGCTATCACATATCATTTGTTGATTTATTGATGATAACTATTCTGACAGGGGTAAAGTGAGGTATCTGATTGAGATTTTAATTTGCATTTGTCTGATGATTAGTGACACTGAGCACCTTTTCATGTCTATTGGCCCTCTCTATGTCCTCTTTGGAGAAGGGCCTCTGTACATTTTTAATTGGATTATTTTCTTGGTTTTGAGTTTTATAGGTTCTTAATAAATTTAGGATAATAACTCATCAGATGTATCATTGATGAGTATGTTTTCACATTCGGTGGAGTGTTTTTTCATTTTGTTGATGGTTTCCTTTGCTGTGAAAAATCTTTTTTGGTAGATGTAGTCCCATTTGCTTATTTTTTCTTTTGTTTCCTAAGGAGATACATCAGAAAAATATTGCTATGAGAAATGTTAAAGGTCTTACTGCCTATATTTTCTTCTATCATTTTATGGTTTTGTGTCTTATTTTAAATCTTTAATCTATTTTTAGTTTAGTCAAGTGTATAGTATAAGAAAGTGGTCTAATACATTTTTGCACATTTCTGTCCAATTTTTCCAACAAAATGTATTGACTAGACTATGTTTACCTCATTGTATGCTCTTGCCTCCTTTGTCAAATATTAATTGACTATAAAGTCATGGGTTTATTTCTGGACTCTCTATTCTATTCCATTGATTTATATGTTTTTATGCCAGTACCATGCTGCTTTGTTGTGTAAGGGGGCAACCAATTGATGTGTCTCTCCCACATGTCATTTTCTCTCTCTCTCTCTCTCTCTCTCTCTCTCTCTCTCTCTCTCTCTCTCTCTCTCTCTCTCTCTCTCTCCCTCTCTCTCTCTTTAAACATCAATGGAAAATATCTTTGGGTGAGGTTAACCAAAAAATGGGCAAGGGGTGGAATGGAATATACTATAAAATCAAAGCCAATTGAGAGTATAAGCCATAAGCCCTAAGCATCTCTCTTTTCTCTGCCCTGGTCTTTGATGTATATTATATGGATTTTTTGAAATAGTTTTAGACCACTTATCATAAAATAAAATAACTTTGTAGAATATTGTTAAAACTAGGACATATATTATGTGATAATTTTTCTTCAAACTACAGTTGACCCTTCAACAATGCAGGGGGTAGGGGTATTGACCCTCCACAGTTATAATTTGTGAGTATAACTTTTGACTCACAAGTTGTCCTTCAGTATCCACAAGGAGAATTGGTTTCAGGACCCCCATGGATACCAAAATCTGTGGATGCTAAAATCTCTTATTAGTAATAGTGTAGAACAATGTATAAAGTTAGCCCACAATGTCGAAATCAGTTTGGCTCAATGGATAGTGTCGGTCTGTGGACTGAAAGGTCCCAGGTTTGATTCTGGTCAAGGGCATATACATTGCTTGTGGCACATCCCTGGCAGGGGGTGTGCAGGAGGCAGCTGATCGATGTTTCTCTCTCATCAAATTTTCTAGCTCTCTATCCCTCTCCCTTCCTCTCTGTGAAAATCAATAAAATATATATTATTTTAAATAAAATAAAGTTGGCTCACTGCACCCACAGAGAAGAGAATCAAAAATACTTTTAAATCTGCAGTTGATTGTCTCTGCAAAACCTGAGGATATGGAGGGCCTACTGTGTAATTACTGGAAAAAATTGATATAGAAATGGACACACAATTCAAACCTGTTTTGTTCAAGTGTCAACTGTCCTTTGAAATGGATACATTTGAATTTGAGCATCTTAATATTTTATAATAATGACTACATTTATTTATAGATTTATGCAAATTTGTATTTGATATATTAATCTTATAACTAAATTATATGTCTTAAATTTTATTTGAGGGACATCTCAATAATTAAAAAAAGGAGAAAAAAATCAGCTTACTAGATACAGTAGTTACTTTTGTAAGTAAAAACCTACTCATAAAACTTCTATCACATAAAACATATTATGAACAAATCTTTGCCATTATACATTATTTCCAGTGTTAGTTTCCAAGTCAAAAATGAAAACTAGTTCCATCATATCATAGTTACATGTAGTAAGACTAATATTATTTCTCCATTGTAATATTGAGTCCAAAATAAAATTAGACAAGTTTCTTAAAATGGTACAGTACTATTCCTGCACTAATAGCTGTCATTGGTCAGGACACTTTTTGTAAAAAGAGGAATATTAACCAACCATTGTGCTTATTTTCAGGAGTAACCATAAGGATGAAACCACTGTGTTTCATCTTGGGCCTTTTGGCCCTTGAAGCCTGTTTCTCGGTAAGTCTCATTAGTCACATTATCTTTTTCTCATGACTAGTCTCATTTTTCACATTAGTATTAGTAGCTATCAATCATTGATGAAATACTGGTCTACTGCTGTAATTTTAATTTAAATTATAAATCTAGCCCTAGCCAGTTTGGCTCAGTGGATAGAGCATCAGACTGTGGACTAAAGAGTCCCAGGTTTGATTCTGGTCAAGGGTACATGCCCAGATTTCAAACTCGATCCACAGTGGGGGTCATGCATGAGGTAACTGATCAATGATTCTCTCTCATAATTGATGTTTCTAATCTCTCTCTCCCTCTTCCTTCTTCTCTGAAATAAAAGTATATTAAAAAACAAATTATAAATCTAATTTAAATTTCCACATATGGCTCATGGCTTACATGTTTAACTGTTAAAATCTATAATATCAGACTGCATTATACAAACATGTATAAATGTGGGTACCCATACATTAGCAATTTCACAAGTAGGTTAAACAAATTTATTGTACATTTTTTATCCAGTATACTTAATGACACTTTTTTAAATATATTTGAATATGTTCTTTAATTTTTTTAATATTTTTAATATATTTCATTGATTTTTTACAGAGAGGAAGGGAGAGAGATAGAGAGCTAGAAACGTCGATGAGAGAGAAACACCAACCAGCTGCCTCTTGCACACCCCCCCACCGGGGATGTGCCCACAACCCAGGTACATTCCCTTGACCGGAATAGAACCTGGGACCTTTCAGTCCGCAGACCGATGCTCTACCACTGAGCCAAACCGGCTTCGGCAATTTTTTTAATATTTTAATTTATTTCAGAGAGGAAGGGGGAGAGAGAGAAAGAAATATCAACAATCAGAGAGAATCATTGATCCGCTGCCTCCTACACACCCCCAATTGGAGATCGAGCCTGCAACACAGGCATGTTGGCTGAATCAAATCTGGGACCCTTTGGTCCACAGGCTGACGCTCTATCCACTGAGCCAAACCAACTAGGGCATGTTCTTTAATTTTATTAGGAGTGTTTCTTCATCTATATATAGGATAGTTAAAATAGAACAATTTCTTATCAACATAGGATTCAGGGATAATCTATATCTAAAGAACCTGATTCACTTATTAAAAATATAGTAAGCCTCTCTAGCTGATTTGGCTCAGAGAATATAGAGTAGGGGTGTCGAACTCAATCAGAGAAGGGGCCAAAATCTAAAATCCAGCCTAAATCTCGGGCCGAATGGTTTACTGAACAGTTATAAACTGTCATTGTGATGGAAACGCAGCGGAGTGCAGTGATGACAGCGCGGTGCGGGCCACATTGCAAGGCCTGGCAGGACGGATTTGGCCCGCGGGCCTTGTGTTTGACACATGTGATATAGAGCATTGGCCCTTGGACTGAAGGCCCAGGTTCAATTCCAGTCCTGGGCACCTATCTGGGTTGCAGGCTAGATGCCCAGCCCTGGTTGGGGCGCATGTGGGAGACAACCAATCCATGTGTCTCTCTCACATGATGTTTCTCTCTGTCTCACTCCCTCCCTTTGACTTCCACTCTCTCTCTAAAAATCAATGAAAATACCCTTGAGTGAGAATATATATATATATATATATATATATATATATATATATATAATTTTTATTATTATTATTTTTTTTTTGCCAAACCTCTTCCCAGAACAAATGAGTGTTTGAGAGTAGGACCTGGTAATATTTTACCAAGGACTCGGGTAACTTTTGATAAAATACAAACATTTTTATCAATCAACACCTTCTGGGTATATAGGACTGCATTAAGTACCACGGACACTTTTAACTATTCAAAGTTTCAAGGGATTTTTTTTAAAAAAGCCGCAAGTTTTTGTGTTTTAAGTAATAAAATAATAATTCATTTCAAGTAGTGATAGATTAATTCCAATTTTGGAAAAAGGAGATTAATTCCAGAGTAATTTTTACCAAAGAACTATAAAATATATCAAGTGAAAAAGATAAAAACCTTTTTCAGAAGAGACTAGGACTTACACAAATAGGCAACATAAAGTTATATCATTCTGAAACATAAAATCATTCTTCTTCTACTAATCTCTAAAACAATCTATCTACTCTCTAAAACTTGAACAAAAGGAGGCCATTCCCTATGTCTCTCAAGCAACCAGGCCTTGGCCATATTACTATGTGCATTAGAGATGTGATATGATTTTTGATACACCAATAAAACATATTGACATGTTTTAAAGATCATATTTTATCTTACTTATCTGACCTTAAAGCTGATATTCAACATTTCTATGTCCAGACTATAAGAGAAAAACACTTTCTTATTTTAAAGCATCAGGTATTGATTACCTGAAAATGATTTTTTTTTACAAAATAAATTTGAGAATTCCAATAATATAAGCAGCTTAACATAAGCAGTTTAAGTAGAAATAAGCCTTTTTTTCTAACTTTATTATATGAGATTCATGACGATTAATTGTTAATAATATGGGCAGGTAAGTAGTACTATTGATCCAGTCATCTTTTGAGTGTTTATTCTGTTATGGGTAATTTTCTGACTGCTTTCCAGCAATATCACAATTAATCCTCAAAGAAAGCCTAAGTATCCATATCTTGGCTGGGTTATTCTTAAACCAAGTGATACAGGAGATTAGCTCCAATTATACCCCACTGAGAAGATAATTTTTATTTCTAACACAGTATTTTCATTATTTTTACCAAGTTGATTACCACTGTCCAGTTGCAGTTAATGAATCACTTTCGTTGGGTTAAGAGATTAGAAAAATAACAAATGTTTACTATGAACATTTTTTTCAATAGACATAATTTTTAGATCAGTATCAGGCTGCCTTTAGAAAACAGACAACTTTCAGTGAATTCATTGTCTCAACATGAAAAAAAAAAAAGTGAAATATTTTCCTACTCTGGATTTATCTTGCCAATTAAAAATCAAGTCCTGAACTTTTCAAACGCCTTGGCCTAGCCTTTGGATTGTCAGCCCTTGGGTCAAATGCCCTCCATAATTCCATAAGCTAACACTAGCTAGAGAGGGCCAAATTGAGGACTAGTTCCATAGCTGTGCCTTGGCATATTTAGTTTCATTGTGACACACACAAAAAAAGTGTTTTACTGGCATACTGGGAGCGGAAGCCAGGTGACTAGTGACTAGCATATGAGCAGGGGGTTCACTCAGCAAACTTTCATAGAGCTTTGCTGAAAGGAAAGAGGTGAAGGGAGTGTGATAACAAGGAAATGCATGGTTGAAAGCAGACTTGTTTAAAGGTATAACGTAGGTGACAGCTATTATTCTGAGGAAACAAAGCCAGTTAAAAGGCACATATTGAAGTTCAGGAATAAAAAAGGAAAGCTGACAGAGCCCTGAGAAAATGCCTGCAAGAAAAAAACAAAATAGCCAGATAGCTATGACTTGATAGTATGTGGCCAGTAAAACGATAAAGTTCATTTTGAATTGCCTGTATTATAATACTTGGTGGATGAGGCCTAAAGAATAGGTAGAGAGCTTTAATGCGATTGGCATCAACTTGGGAAATTATAGGACATGTGGTGACATAATTTGAAGGCACTTGAGAAAAATGCAGGGCAGTGCTGAAGAACCAGGTTTTTGTCAGGGGTCAGGGCTTTTGACATCTGCCACCACTGGTTAAAGACCTGTAACTAGGAATAAAGAAAAGGGATGATTTAGGCCGGGGGACCATACAGTTTGGAATTGGCAATGTCAGAAAACACGTGAAAGACCTGAGAACAAGAAGGGAAGGCAGCCAAAACCGGTTTGGCTCAGTGGATAGAGCATCAGCCTGGGGACTGAAAGGTTCCAAGTTCGATTCAGGTCAAGGGCATGTACCTGGGTTCAGGGCACATTCCCAGTAGGGGGTGTGCAAGAGGCAGCTGATTGATGTTTCTCTCTCATTGATGTTTCTAACTCTCTATTCCTCTCCCTTTCTCACTGTAAAAAAATCAATAAAATATATTTTTTTTAAATAATAAGGGAAGGCAGTTGTAGGTCCTATATGAACCCACTGGAGACGAAGACTTGTGCTTTCCTACCCTGGAGCACTTACATACTTCCCCTCCATTTGACATGCCCTCTCCCCAGTTTATAATACCTAATCCTCCCTTCAAAGGCTGTCTCCTCTGTGAGACTATCTTTCCTCTCCCCAAAACTAATAACTCTAATTCTCCAATGTATTTGTTTCCTGCACTATTTTTGACTATTTTTATTTCCAAAAATGGCAACCACTCTCCTAGATGTTAACATAACGAAACGTTTAGTGAGCACTGTACCTGAGCCAAGCACCCCCCTAAGCACTCTACTAGTAATGTTTCACAAATCTGACAATGACCCTTGGACATGGGCACTTTTAAGAACATAATTTTCCAGATGAGGTAAGAAAGCATCTCAAAAAGGATTTCACATTCACACAACCTCTACATAACGGAGGCAGGAAACTATAAAGACTATCATTCTACCTCCCGTTAGGTAATTTTTGGACCTTCTAGTATTGTGGCTACTTGATCTGCAGACTCACAGGTGGCACTCCCATAGCTCCTACTTCAGCATATTTCACAAAGTAGGTGCTCAATAGTATGCTTGATAATTAATTCGTTTTCAAGCAGTTGAACAATCCTGAACTATAAGAGACATTTTCCCCATTTGAAATTGATTCCCGTGACAGGCTGTACTATAAGCAAAGGTTATGATTTCTGATTGGTGTTCTGGGATTCTTAGGATATATTCCTAGAAAAGGAATCACTGAGTCAAACAGCAGTTTCATTTTTAATTTTTATAGGAAACCTTATACTGTCTTCCACTGTAGCTGCGCCAGTCTACATTCCTAATAGTGCACCAGGGCTCCCCTTTCTCCACATCTTCATCAGAACTTGTTTGTTGATTTATTGATGGTAGCCATTCTGACAGGTGAGGGATGATAGCTCATTGTGGTTTTAATTTTCATTTTTCTGAGGATTTTTGAGTATCTTTTCATCTGTCTTTTGGCATTCTGTATAAAAAAAGAAGGATATCTTACCCTTTGAGTCAAAATGAAAGAACCTGGCGAGTATTATGCTAAGCAAAATAAGCCTATCAGAGAAAAGATGGCACTCCTATGTGGAATCTAATGAACAAAATAACTGACAAACAAAATAGATTCAGAGACATTGAAGCATGCAAACAGACAGGAATTTCAGAGGGAAGGCGGGAGAGGCTGTGGAAAAGAGATGAACCAAAGAACATATATGCATAACCAATGGATATAGACAATAATGCAGTGAAGGCATTGGAGGAGGAGAGAGCAGGATCAGGAGAAGGGGGCCACTAGGGGAAAAAGGAGACATCTGTAATAGTTTCAAAAATAAAGATAATTTTTTAAAAAAATAAAATAAAAACACCATCCCAATAAAAAAAAAATTTAAAAAAAGAATATAATTTTACCAACAATATTTTTTAATATATCTTATTGATTTTTTTACAGAGAGGAAGAGAGAGAGATAAAGAGCTAGAAATGTTGATGGGAGAGAAACATCGACCAGCTGCCTCCTGCACACCCCCTACCGGAGATGTGCCCACAACCAATGTACATGCCCTTGACCGGAATCAAACCTGGGACCCTTCAGTCCGCAGACCAGTGTTCCACCACTGAGCCAAACCGGTTTCGGAACCAACAATCTTTTTTTTTTCCATTTAATATTATCTCAGCTTTCATTGAAAGCCTAAGCCTGTGGTCGGCAAACTGCGGGTCGAAAGCCACATGCGGCTCTTTGGCCCCTTGAGTGTGGCTCTTCCACAAAATACCATGGCCTGGACGAGTCTATTTTGAGGAAGTGGTATTAGAAGAAATTTAAGTTTAAAAAAATTGGCTCTCAAAAAAAAAAATTCAATCATTGTACCATTGATATTTGGCTCTGTTGACTAATGAGTTTGCTGACCACTGGCCTTGGCATTCAGAGGGAAAAGAAAGAAAGAAAAATTCTCTCTGCTCTGATATTGTCTTTCAGACTGTGGCTTAGCGGCATAATAGTTTTCTCTTGCTGCATAACAAATTTCTACAAATCAGTTTTAACAATCCATTTTTTTTATTTTTATCTCACTGATTCTTTGGTAAAATTCTGGCCTTGGCTTGGTTGTATTTTCTGCTCAGAACCTGGCAAGGCTGAAAGAGTGTTGCCAAGGACCGTGTTCCTTTCTGGAACCCAGGATCCTCTCAAATTTGCATGATTTTTGGCAGAATTGGGTCCCTTGTTTGGGGGGACTGAGATCCTTATTTTCTCACTGCCTAGTCACCAGGTGATATCCCCACCTCCTCCTACCCATCGACCATTTACTTCCATGTGGTCCTTTCCCCAACATGGCTCTTTGCTCCCAAGCCAAGAGAAGAGCGTTTGCTGCAGCTACAAATCTTACTGATTTCTGTCTCTGACTTATAGAATCTATATGGTTAGACGAGGATGTGCCAGCGGGAAACAGGAATCTTGGGAGCCATCTTAGCATGCTTCCTGACACAGAGAGTATAAATTCCTATGCTTGACATTAAAATGTTTAATTCCAAATTGTTTACTTCTTTTTCCCCACAGCCTGGGGAGAGCCATAGAGGGCCCCGAGGACCATATCCACCGTATCCGCAGATGCCGCCTCCTTATCCTCCACAGCCTTTTGACCCAAGATTTGGTCCACCACCTCCTCCACCTCCTCCCCCTTTTGGCCCGGGGAGAATTCCACCACCTCCCCCTTTTGGCCCAATGGGAATTCCTCCACCTCCTCCTCCTCCCCCTTTTGGCCCAGGGAGAATTCCTCCTCCTCCTCCTCCTCCCCCTTTTGGCCCAGGGAGAATTCCTCCTCCTCCACCTTATGACCCACGTTATCCATATCCACCTTTCCAACCAAATCCATATGTACCCGAACCTGCAGTGAACCCTGGATACCCTCCAGTATATCCTTCCTACGTTACCCCTGCATCCGAAATACAAGCTACTACAACAAGCACCACTGCAACCAAAGAAAACCCCACTACAACCAAAGAAAACCCCACTACAACCAAAGAAAACCCCACCACCACCAAAACAGACTCCACCAGCTCTACAACTACTACTCCTACTACCAAAGCTGAAACTACTACTACTTCCAAGGGATTTTTTGATAAAGTAGCAAACATTTGGGGATAAGGATGAGATTTCCTATAGCTCTGAGCTGTGGGGAGAAATTATCTTAGAAAGAAACCAAAACAACATTAGGCAAACAACTTGAAATTAAAGAGTTGAGCAATAAATGTGAAATTGTCAGTGTTGTGATGAGAGCCATCTGATTGTCCCCCGGTATGCTTCCTAAATGAAGAGTAATGCTGCCAGAAACCTAGCCTTGTGCTATGAGGCCAAAGATGTAATTATGGAAAATAAGTGAGACACCTGAACTTGAGTGCCCTCTTGAGTACCAAAATCCATCATACAATTACAAAACATGAAATAACATTTTAGTTCATAATAAAATTAAGCTCTCCCCACAATATGTCCTCTGAAAAATTCTTGAGGACTGCATGATCATTACTTATAAACTAGAGGCCTGGTGCATGAAAACCATACACTAGGAAAGGGGGGAGGGGCCCTGTCCCTCAGCCCGGCCTGCACCCTCTCCAATCTGGGACCCCTTGGGGGATGTCCAACTGCTGATCATCCCTCTCACAATCCCAAACTGTTGGCTTCTAACCACTCCCCTGCCTGCCTGCCTGCCTGATTGCCCCTAACTGCTTTGGTCTACCAGTCTGATTGCCCACAACTGCCCTCCCCTCCCAACCTGATCACCTCCAACTGCCTTGCCCTAAAGGCCTGGTCACCCCCAACTGCCTTCCCCTGCTGGCCAAGTCACCCTCAACTGCCCTCCTCTGCAGAACTGATCTCACCCCAACTGACTTCCTCTGATAGCCTGGTGCCCCCCAACTGCCCTATCCTGCAGGCCTAATTGCCCCCAACTGCCCTCCCCTGCTGGCCCCATTGCCTCCAACTGCCCTCCCCTGCTGGCCTGGTCACCCCCAACTGCCCTCCCCTGCTGGCCTGGTCACCCCCAACTGCCCTCCCCTGCTCGCTTGGTCATCCCCAACTGCCCTCCTCTGCAGAATTGATCTCACCCCCTCTGCCAGCCTGGTGCCCCCCAACTGCCCTCCCCTGCTGGCCTGATCACTCACAACTGTCCTCCTTTGCTAGCCATCTTGTGGTGACCAACTTGTGGCAGCCATCTTGTGGTGGCCATCTTTCAGCAATCATCTTGTGACGATGTTGCGTGACACCACCTAGGTTTTTACTATATAGGATTGGCTTTCATACAATCTGTTTAACTCCAGAGCAGAAATGCCTTTTTAGCCAATCTAAATATCTAAATGAGATATGAAGTTCAAACCTTGGAATTTGATATGAAAAAAATCATTTTCCAAGCTAAAGAAAAGATAATGGCTTCAGACATTAATAATAACAGACTGATGGTTGTGCTTTCTAAGTTTCCATTGCTTCTAGCTATTACTTAATGTTTTAATCAAAAGTATTATAATGTGACTATTTCAGAAACATCCTCATTCTGTCCTGAGAGCTATATTTTAATACACCTTAAACTCTTGAAATATAGCACCATATTTTTCTTCAGGACACTTAATTGCCTATATTGTCACAAAACACTTTTGAATCAAAACTATTCAATTATACCTAAAGTCTAAATTTTTTTATATGTGCTTGATGCTTTCTTTAATCTCATATATACTTCTTCAGACTCTACCATGATGTAGAGATTGTTCTGGTGGTTGAGCCATCAGCAATTATGAAGGCAATGAAAGTCACTGCCATCATTGAGCTTATAGTCTAGTGCAGTGGTCTGCAAACTCATTAGTCAACAGAGCCAAATATCAATGGAACAAAGATTTAAATTTCTTTTGAAAGCCAAATTTTTTAAACTTAAATTTCTTCTAACTCCACTTCTTCAAAACAGACTCACCCAGGCCATGGTATTTTGTGGAAGAGCCACACTCAAAGGGCCAAAGAGCCGCATGTGGTTCATGGGCCTCAGTTTGCAGACCACGGGTCTAGTGTGTCAAAAAAAGAAGACACATATACATGTAATTTAAAAAGTGAGAGCACTTTAAAAAATAATAATGAAGGGTTAGGAGACACTAAGTGGTGGTGATTGGCTGTTTTGAGATAATAATCAGGAAGCCCCTTTGATGAAGTGATACTTAAGCAAATACTTGAATGTTAAGAAGTAAAATATTCAGAGAAAGAGTATTGAAGGTAGAAAGGTTCAAGCATGTAAAGCTCTGAAGCAGCAGTGAATTTTGCTTTCAGGAGCACCAAAAGAGTGTTAATGTGGCTCACTCTTAGAGAGAAAGGAGGAGAGTGGAAGGTGATATTGTTACAGAAAACTGAAGAAGAGCAAAGCAATACTTAGAGAGATTGAGTTACATTTATTATGCATGGGTCCAGAGAAAAATGTATCTCAAATTCTGGGCCCCAACATACAGGAATTCTCCCTATTTATATGATTTTGCCTTCTTTGTCTCCCAAATATGGAGTGTTTCCTGCTCCCTTTTGCAAGCTCTGTTTTTTGGTGGTTTTTTTTTTAATATGTTTTATTGATTTTTTTACAGAGAGGAAGGGAGAGAAATAGAGAACCAGAAACGTCGATGAGAGAGAAACATCTACCATCTGCCTCCTGAACACCCTCTTCCGGGGATGTGCCCACAACCAATGTACATACCCTTGACCGGAATTGAACCTGGGACCCTTCAGTCCGCAGGCCAACGCTCTACCCCTGAGCCAAACCGGCTTCAGCCTTTAGCAAGCTCTTAAAGAGCCCGTATGTACTGGGGCCTTGAGACCTCAACCTGGTGCCAGCACTGATAACCTTGTCTGGGGACGGTTAAATTTACAGAAGCCAAATAGCAGGGTTAAAATTTCAAACAGCAGTTTTCATACAAGATGGATGCTTGTATGAAAAAGACAGAGACAGACCACAACAGCAAGGACCTAGGATTTGAATATTATTCTAAATATAAGAGAGGTCACTGGAGTTTTAAGTAGGAACATAACATTATCCAATTAACGTTTTCAAAACTTCATCTCTCTGGATGTCTATGAACACCACACTGTTAGGAGAACAAGAGTAGAGGCTATCTCAAGAATCATTGTGAGAGAGGTGATGGCTTTGACTGGGTGGGATCAATGGAGAAGGGGAGAAGTGATCCGATATAGAAACAGGTGAAAAATATTTAAAAGTATTTGGTGAAGTGTTTGATCTGGGTATTAAAGGGGAAAAAATCATCTGGAAATAATTGTGATTGATGCCCAAGCAACTGTGTGAATAGTAGTGTTATTTAGTGAAATAAGAAAGACCAGTGAAGACTCTGTGTGTAAGGACTAAAAATATCCTAAGTTCTGCATTAGATATGTTAGGTTTGAGATCGCTATTTAACCTCAATATTACTTTTTTAATTTATCTTTATTGTTGAAAATATTACAAATGTCCCCTTAGTTTATTTGTCTGTTTTCTCATTGATCCCCTCCACTCCACACATGCCCCTCCCAGGCTTTCACCACATTATTGTCTGTGTCCATGGGGTATGCATATATTCACATAAGTTGCCCAGTTAATCACTCCTCTCTCACCCTGCACCCACTTACAATCCAGAATCCCTCTCCCAATCCAGGACTGCTGGCTCCTAGCCCCTAACCACCTTTGACTTGGCCCCTGCTGCAGCGGCTTCATCCAAAAGAACATCGGGAATGACATCCAGAAGGTCATTCGGCTGTCCGGTCTAATTAGCATATTATGCTTTTATTATTATAGATGATATATTACCCCAAATTTAGCATCTTAACACAAACACATTATCTCACAGTTCTATCAACCAGAAGTCCCCAGTGTATTATTGCTCAGCTACGTAGTTCCTCTTCTTCGAGTCTCACAAGGCTGAAATTAAGGTATTGGCAGGGCTACACTCTTCATTAGAGCTCTAGGGAAGAACATTTCAGGACTCATTAGTTTCTCCTACACTCCTTTCTGCCCAGTTCTCCTTCGGCCACATCTCTCTGACTCCAGATAGAGAAATATTATCTACTTTTAATAAAAGTTCACATGATAAAATTGAGCCCACAAAAATAATCCAGGATAATCCCCCTATTTAATTATGTATATTTAGTAACATATGGGAACTCCCTTTGCAGAAATAGCTTAATGTTTGATTAGGTAACTATTAGATGAAATTCTTGAGGGGCACATGCTTAGAAATTTTGAAGAGACACCATTTTTAAGTAGAGATACTGAGCAGGCATGAAGTATACAAGAGCAGATAAATGGAAAGACTGAGCTTAACCAGAATCCTAATTTTGCCAGGAAAGAATAACAGAAAAATACATTGGAAAGAGGAGCCACCTTAGGAATTGTGGTTGTATATGAGCTAAACTTTTCACAAAGGCTGGTGAAAAGTTTACAAATTGTTTCTTTTTCTGCTTTTACTTTTATTAGTACTTATTTAATGCAGAATTTACTCCTGGGTCATAAATTCTTGTTTCTTCAGTTTCGTCTGGGATATCTTTTTCTTCTGTGCAGCCTCCTCTCCTGATTTAGGAACAATCTACTCTTTTTCAGTCAAAATCATCTCCATGTGGCAAGGAGAGCAGGTGTATGAGTTAATCTACTCATGAACTCTGTAAATTCTGCATCGCATCTTAGCTTTGTTCACCTGGTGAGTGCCTCTGGCACTCAACCCGTCAAAATGAACATTAAACTCAGGAATGAGTGAAGAAACTGGAAGATGGAAGCCATCCAGGCCATCCAGGTGTGCTCAATGACAAGGGAATCTATGTTCCTTAAATTTGGCATCACTCTCTTCATTTTTAAGCATGTGCAGCAAAAATTCAACACTCTTTTTGGGCCACTGACCCTGTGTTCAGCCCCATTGTTTGGTCTGATCTCAACTATCAAGTCCGTCATTACAACAACAGGAAGAGCACACATTGCTGCTATAAAGTGACATCCTTCAGATGCTTGGTGGGCATTTTGGATTTGCATACCCTTGATGGCCTGGGAAGTTTCTCAGGTTTTCTTAAAGTTAACCGGAAGATTTGAACTTCTTGATTTGCATGCTTTTGTGAAGTTTTCTGGGCCAAGTGAATAGTGAACCATTTTCAGAGGTCACCTCAGGCCATTTACAGGAAGAATACAAATCGTATCTAATGGCAACTCAGACTTGGCTGAATACACTTTGACTTTG